AGTGTGTGTGAAAGAGGAGGGTCTGAGGAAGGACATTTAGAAGAAAAATAGGGAGGCAAAGCATTAATGGCACAAAGAAATGTGGTATTATCTGTTGAAGATATTTTGTAGTTTTATCAACTGTACTAAGGGAGAAATATTCACATGTTGAAATATCCATTTTGTAAGCCAAATAATAATGTGATTGAATGCATAAAAAAAGAAATAAACAAACAAACAAAACAAAAAATCTGACACCAGTCGTGTGCGTAGGTGTGCCCAAGATCCCAAGAGGAGAATGGAGGAGAAGGGATTGCCCCACCCTGGGAGGGTAATTTCTTGCCTTTTGTTTCTGTTAATGTATTGGGTCCTATAGCAAAAAAATCTCTCTCTAAAAAAAAAAATAATTAATTTTAGTTTTTGCTATGGGTTACATGTACTCGCCAGAGAGAGACAGAGGAAGAGAGGGAAAGTGAGAACCCCTCTGGGGTGATGATCATGTCGTACTCCCTTCTCCTTCTGTCTCCTCTTGGGAGTTTAGGCATGTATGCACATGTGCCCGGTGTGATATTCAAGCTGCCAAATCTCAAACTGCTCACTTGGCCATGTGGGATACAGAGCCTTAACCTCTGCCACCTCCTGTCCCCCACCCCACCATTCTAAATAAATATTCACTTTTGCACTCACATTTGTATTTATATTAAAAACTTTTTTTTGATCAAAAAGAGTTCACCAAATTGTGAAAGCTTCAGGCCCCTATAAAACTAGAAGGATCATGAATATCCCATGTATATTAGGTGTCCATTTTTTTTTTTCCTGGGTGGAACTGTAGGAGCTAATAATTTATCTGGGGAAAGAACTTATCTGCGTAAGCTATTGCCTGAGATTCATCCTTTTGCCAGAAAAACACCAAATCTTACGCCAGGCTCCTGGGAAGGGAGTGCTAATGGCAAAAAGAAAAAGAAAAAAAAAATCAGTTGGAAAGACAGACAGAGCAAGCTGCTTGCTGTGTCATAAGATGAGACGAAAGAGGGAGGTAACATGATAATTTCTGCCCTTTCTTCTCTTCCTTCTGATTCCATTCAGGCATTGGTATGGCAGAATGTGGAGATCAGGGTAGCACAAGCAGGAAGACAGAGAATGATCACATTCCAAGAGCTCTTGAAGCACAAAGAAATA